ATGTATGTATGTATGTATGTATGTATGTATGTATGTATGTATGTATGTATGTATGGATGATAGATGGACGGATGGATGGATGGATGGATGATAGATGGATGGATGATGGATGGATGGATGATAGATGGATGGATGGATGGATGATAGATGGATGGATGGATGGATGATAGATGGATGGATGGATGGATGATAGATGGATGGAGGCATGGATGGATGGATGGATGGATGGATGGATGGATGGATGGATGGATGGATGGATGGAAGGAGGGAATGATGGATGCATGGATGGATCCATGGATGGATGGATGGATGGATGGATGGATGGATGGATGGAGGCATTGATGGATGAATGGATGGATTTAACAACAATTTCATTTCATTCAGGTGATGAGTACAAGTTTTGTTTTTTGTAACTTGTATACTTCACATAAAATGCAACTTTATTTACAAACATGTTTCCTATAGAAATAACTTGAGATCTCTACAGTTCTTTAAAAACATAATTCTTTTGCCATGCTTGTGCTGTTATTGTCTTTTGCTGCTTTCCGATGTTTATTGAGTCTTGATCATTTTTGTTTTTAGCTAGCTTTGCTCTAGCTTTTAGTTAGCCTTTAGATTTAGCCAACTTTTTTAGTGTTTAGTAAGCATTTTGCTTCTTTAGCTTTTTGCTAGCTTTTTGTTAAAATTAGCTTCCACCTAGCATTCTGCTTCTTTTAGCTTTGTTTTTTTTAGCTCAGTTTCACCTTCTTCAGCAGTCATTCAGCACTCTCTTCTCTGTTACAATGCATGCATTTCTTACCCGCAATGACATAGAAGTAACGACAGGAATCCAATCACCACAATAAGGGTTCCTCCCAGTATTCCCATTAGAAGATAGGTGTGGTAAGAGATGAAATCCATTGAGCTGGCATGTTCATGATAATCTAGAATGTAAAATGTTGGTAGTATTTCACAGTGATGCATGAACAACATTTATACAGTGGCGATGTCTGAGTTCAGGGGCTGCATCCTCCTGAGTGTGCATTTGTTGGCTGCTTAGGTCACTGCCCCGCACCAAAGGCTGTCCCAATTCATGAGGAAGATGAATGTGGGCCACTAAATCATAAAAATGAAGACTGCATCTGAGCATCCTTCCCAGCCGAGGATATCCCAGGATTCAATGTGGTGTCACAAACTAAACAGGAAAATGAAGACCTGGGGCCTCATGTATTAACGGTGCGTACGCACAAAAACCTTGCGTACGCCATTTTCCACAAAAAACTCCGGATGTATCAAAACTCAACTGAACGTGGAAATGTGCACAGCCCCACGCCAACTCCAGGGCTGGCGTACGCACGTTTCTGTGGTTTTGGTTCCATTGGCGACACTTAGAGGTGATTCTGAGAAACTGTTHATGATGTGAAAATGATTATTGTTCACAGCAGACACACATGATTAACAATTATTACATCCACATGATTAACAATTATTACATCTACATGATTAACAATTATTACATC